GTGGGGAGGCACCCAGGGTCTGCCCACATCTGATCGAATCCAAATCAAATACAGTCTGTTTTGCACACCCCTGGTACTAAGGGCTTTATGCTTTCTATGTTATATGTAAGAGCAAAACGGCTCTTGACTATGATAGAAAAATAGGAACTTGACAACTCTAGGAATTGTCTTAAGGGGGATGCATTTTAGTGGTATACTTATCCTACTGCCAGGAACAGAACACTACCTCAGACGTGCAAATATTGTATCTTTCACTGATACGTAGGCATTCTATTATTAAGGAGCAAAATTTCCTATTAGTGTAAGAAAGGATAAGTGGATCTACCCCTGGGAATACATGGTTCATGTTGTATCTTTCCATAACTTTCCTTTCAGTATGCACATAACAGTCCCTGCTTGGGAAGAACAATGGTTTCTATTTAATATAAACTATTATTTTAGTGGTTTGATTATCATTTTAAGAATAGCCACTCCCAGGCTAAGTATGTATATTATCATTTATTCTACTCTTAACTCATTTTGAATATTTCTTAATTAAAGTACTAATGAGATTTGCTTACAACATAATTAAAAAAGGCATCAGTGTTTTCCAGCAGTTAGTTGCCTTTTTTTCTTCATTACGCTGAACCTTTCCTTTTCTTTGTTCCTGAGCAGGGATCCTGGTTTTCTCTGATTTTAAAAAAAAAAGAAAAAATCCCATATGAATTGCATTTCATTATAATCATGGAAAAATACGGATTTGGCGTTACTTTTTTTTAAATTAGAAAATTCAGGATTTTTTTTATCAAAGAGAATCATGATCCCTGCTCATGATTAATATGTATGCCATTGGTTACTCTGGTGGTGTAATGATTCCTGAAGGAAGCTCCAGGTCCAGAAAAAACAATGGCAAACAAATTATAGTTTCTGTTTTGTATTTGAAGATGTTCAGTGTGGTGCTTTAACATTGATTAACTTTAGTTTTGGAAGTGAACTAAAGTCTACTATGTCTTTTTGTTTGAAATATCTGTTAAATATGGCTTTTGACTTTCAGTTGCCACCTCAGGTATCTGGGCATGTCAGAGGGCCCTCATCTCACCCACCTCAACATCAGAACAACAGTTATACCATACATATCTAAGAGTATATTCCAAATAAACATTTAATTTGATTTTTCACAATAAAATATTACAGTTTTCATCAGTAGTTTTGATATTTTAGTTAAGCAGCTTCTACAATACAACTAAATGACTGTTGCTTACAAACTTACCATAATACAAAATGCACCCTCAGACATTATGAATATAATTATTAAAGTAGACATCTGTGTTTAAAAAATAAATAGGGAAAAGATACAATGGTGCTAGCCCTGCAATAACAAAATATTATTATTATTTTTTTTAATTTTCACCATCACTAGAACTAGCTAGGCCAACATAAAATAGGTCCTGAGCATGTTGGTTTCCCTCTCTAAGGTGCTTGCTAAACTGAAGTAGTTTTCATAATAGTAATTCTTAGATTTGGTAAAAAGACAGTAAAAGGGAGTACAAATAAAAAGGCAAGGAAGATATCTTTTGGGGGGCAGACTTTGAATATAACTATTCTAAAACTTTTTTTTGTAAATTCTTTGAAAAGTACCAAAGATTTGACTGTATAATTTTGAATATTTGGTTGTGACTAAATCCTTGTCCATTTTTTAAGTAATTTCTCACATGCTTTACCAGTTTAACTCTTTACTGTTCCCACTTTGTTAAAATATTTATACTCCTGTTCTTAATGTCTTACAGAAGAGCAAATCAATGATTCTTTAAACTCAAGTTTTGATGACCTTTGGGGAAATTGTAAATTAAAGAGACAGAAGATAGAGTCACTGGAATGCATTAATGCGGCTCAAAGTGATATTTATGTTTCTACACCTGCATTGGAGGATTCTTCCTTCTGCAGCAATGATCGAGAGAACTTAACTCCAAAACAATGTAATAGAAAACAGTTAAACAAAAAACTGATCTTACAACACTCCTTGGGGGGTGACCTTTCAGAAAAGGGAGAATCTGAAACATCTCCTAACAAGAAACAGGATTATGATGATAATCTGACTTCTCTATCAATTGCGACCAACATTTCATTTCTCCAAGAAAAAGACTTGAGTCATTCTGCTTCTTCACAAAGAACAGTTCAGTTAGAGGCTGCTGCAGGTACCAAAGACAGTCACTCGGATTTATTAGTGAGCAGCAAAGATTTTAATATGTGTTCAGTTGATGTAAGTGTTCCTGTTGACCTAAGGGATTGTGCTGTTGGACATAAAACAAAGGGGAAATCAAAAAGAAAAAGATCTAGTACAAAACTGACTACCTCAGTATTATGTAAGTCAGGGGCTGAAAATGAATTTCTGGAAGCAATGACCACACGTAACAAGATTTCACATGCTGAGAAGGGTTCATATGAAGACTTTTTTTCATCTTCTGACTTGAATAAAAGTGAAATACAAGAAAGCCATTTTGTTCTTGGAGTTCAACAGAAATCATCATGTTCTCCTGAAGTGACATATAAAACAGGCTCTTCAAGGAGAGAATCAAATGAACAGTGTAGTGCTCTTTCCAAAAAGAAAAGAAAAACTGTTCAGACAAATGGCACTTTGTTAAAGAGTGACTGCAAATTATCTGAACTTCTAGAAAGTACAAAAAGTGTAACTTTAAATTGTATGGTAGATGGAAAAAATGCTCAGACTGCAGAAGACTTAGTTTCTAGCTCACTGAATCAACTCCATCAGAACACTCGTGAAAATAACTGCAGAACTAATGTGAATTGTTCCCCTTTTCCTTCTGGTAAGTTTCTGCATAGAATTGAGAAGTTCAGAGAGATAGCATCATGATGCACTGCAGTTCCTGTGCAACTGCATTGTAAAACGAGCTGTGAAATCAAGAAATTCTGTCTTTCAGGAGCAACTCTGCAGGACGATAATACTGCAATGATGGTATCACTTTCTTTAAAAAGTGAAAACAAGGGCACAGCGGAGCCAAAAGAACACCCACTTATTTTCCCAGACTCTGCAAGTATGGAAAAGTCAACAGACGATAAGAAGGAAACTCTACTCAAAAAATGCAGTCCAAGTATGTGAGCCTTCTTTTCCGTAATAGTTGGCAACCTATAAACCCTGTACTGTTCTTCAAGGATATGTAATAAATAATGTTCTCATATTTTAAATGTATTACACTTCTGTATATAGTGAAATATGTTTGTGTAGATCCTTATTTGAGGTGCGGGATCCTTATTAATCAAACAGCAAGAAAACTAAATGAAGTGTAAAAAGTAGGAAACCCTCAGACAAACCCCAATGTTTGCATCAGTATGGTTGGAGATACAGAAGTAAGGGAATAAATGCAAAAAATGTATCCCAAGTTGAGCTCTGTGAGTTTGCTGTAGGAGCAAATAAAACATGCAGTTGGGGACCTCATGTTGAAATCACCTGAAAGGAAAGAGATGATCATCAGAAGTGTGTGTTCGGTTTAGTTTAAATGTAAAGTACTGTGAAGAATTAAAGTCTTGTTTAAACTCTTCTCTTACAGCTAATATGGAGAATTGTAACAATAAATCAGTGTGGTTTAAATATTGATGAACTGTAAATAAAGGTTTCAGTTTTATTCTTACTCGAGTGTGAGTTACCCTTCTAATGAAGGATAAAAATACTTCATTCTTTTGGTTGAAAGTTTTAAAAACATGTTCCAGATAACTACAAAAAGCGGTGTTTGCATATCTTGCAGTGCTACATTAATCAATAAATGAAGTGACTTTTTAGTGACAAGGTTTAGACTTGTATTAATTAGGAAGAGAATTAATTTACTAGAAGAGTAAATAAACATGCAGCAATATATACTATTTTCAGTGAATAATAATAGCTTATGATCTGAGGAAAGCTTGATATTTTTCGTAGGTATTCAAACTTAATTAAAAGTTGAATTGCTCCAAAGTTCCTCCCATCTACTTGTAACTATTTTTGGCAGTGAAATAAGTTTGCATCCTGACTACATTGTTTTAGACTTGTAATTCTTGTCCAGCTTTACTTAATTTCTAAATCTCATCTGAGAACCAGAGAAATAAATGATATAGTAAGTAAGGAATGCAACATTAATAGATTCTAAGAAAAATTTAACATCCTTCTATAGCTGTTCAGAAATGTGAATGTGGACTTCATTAGTTTTATTTCTAGGCTCTGGGATTTGATTGAATGACCATTATGTTTTTTTTAAGCTGCTTATAATAAATGTGGGAGCACAGCGTTCTCTTGGCAACAGTTGTAAACTAAGATCAGTTATGATCTTGGGGAACACAAGGCTGAAATGTTAGGAGCTCAGAATCTTTACAGGCTGCCATCTCTTATCTGTGACCATCAACAAGTTTACTCCCACTTGAGAACTCTGGAAATGAAATGTGGTCCTCCTGCAGTTAATCGGAGTGTTGTCATTGACTTCTCTAGTGGCAGTATAATAAAGTGAGCAAATATTCAAATGTTAGCAAGGCCTGATGAAATTTTATCCTAGACAAGTGAAGGAATAGTTGTAGCAATCTCTGAAGCATTAGCAATTATCTTTGAAAAGTCCATAGAAGAGGGGAGAGGTATCAGTGACTAAAGAAAAGCAAACACAATGTCCACCTTTAAACAGAGAGAAAGGGTAGATTTGAAAAATTTCAGACCAGTCAACTGAATTTCAGTATCCCAAAATATAATGAATTAAATGCATTAAACCTTGAGTTTGAAAGCACGTAGGGGATAATAAGGTAATAAACAGCCAGCAGCACTGGATATATTTGGAAATGTTTTCAGATCAATAAAATTAAATTTAATACAGACAAGTACAAAACGATTTTATTTTTATTTCTTCACTGTAGTAAAAATACAAAATGGAGAGTTAACTGGCCAGGCAGCAGTTCTACAGAAAGGGATATGGGATTTAGAATGAACCACAAATTGAATGAGTCAACAATGTGGTGATGTTGCAAGAAAGGAATCATTCTGGGATTTATTAACAGGAGTGTCATATGTCAGATATGATCATCTTAATGATTCCACTCTGTTTGGCAGTAGTGTGGCCACAGTTGTGTCCAGTTTGGGGCACCCCACTTTAAGAAAGATACCAGTAATCTGATCATTACAAGCAAGAAAATCAAGACTGATTAAGATTAGAAACTGTAACTTAGATGGAAAGCTTGAAAGAGCTGTGTTTGTTTAGAAAAGGAAGATGAGGGAATTTCAAGTTTTCAGACATCAAGTTTTGAAAGAAGACAGTGCTCAATTGTTCTTTGTTCATGGAGAATAGGGCAAGGAGGGACTGAATTAATTTTCAGGAAGGGAAATCTATGTTAATCTTAGGAAAATCTTTCTAAGTGTGAGGTTAGTTAACCACTTGGAGCAGGTTATGGTGGTAGGATATGGACCTCCACATAATGACAACCCAGAAAGGGTAAATGGAAGGGGGAAGGTTGTAATATTAAAATCAATGTCAAAACTAAATTTCTCAGCTTGTGACTAAAGAGCCTGTTGTAACAGCTGATAAAAGACAGCCTAAGTAGCCTGATGCAGCAAGGAGAGAAGATGGAAATTGCAAGATTACAGGTTGCCTTCAGAGAGTTACAGGATGGGGAAAAATAGTTAGGTGAGTGATACATATATGGAAGATAACCTGCTAGAAATTATAAGTTTTAATCCTTAGTTGCTTCATAGAGGATCTCTAGAGAGGGCAGGTCTGGGTTCTTTTTTCCCCTCACCCCCTTTCTTGTACAGTATAGGAAGTGATAGCAATGAAAAACAAAGTTAATAACTTGGTGAGTCCATAAGTTGGGGGCACAGCCTCTAGATTTTTAATTTAGGCAAGAACTCTGAAGAAGGTCAAGACCCAAAAAGGTGCAGTGGTGGCAGAAGGACTTGCACCAGGCAGGTTCACAAATGGGCACTACAGACATTACCTTACTTAAATCCAAGATGAGAGGTTTTTTTCCACATTCAGGATGGGGGTGGGGAGGGATTGCTTTATCTTAAACTCAAGTACCGCCTCTGGTAGGCAGTGGCTCTGGCCCTGACCCTGGGCGGAGTTGTAGCTACAGCAAGTGCCTGCTTGGGTTAGAGCTGCTGCTGCTACCTGCCTGGAGCTGGAGCTGCTGCCTACATTGCTGCCTGGCCAGCACCAGGGTGGGGTTGGAGTCACCATGTGCTCTGTACCCTGGGATGGAGCCAGAGCCACTGCTTAGCATAAGGGAGGTGGAGGGGAGGATGACTAGAATGCAAATGGAAGAGGGCTTGGACAGCAGGGGAGCAGGTGCTGGGGAGGGTATCAGCACCAGGGTAAGCAAGGATAATGGCCTGGCTGCCTGCCTCCCAAGTGCTTGCTCCCCTGCTGATGCCTTCCCACTGGCCCCCCACCGGCAGGGGGAACAAATTTATGATGTCCCTCATGTAATTAGGTTCTATACATGAAAAATTACCCCCCAAAAATTATAACTGACATTTATAAAAAGGTGCCTGTAAAAAGGGAGGGGAAAGAAGAAAAAAGTCTGAAGACTGGGGTAGAGAACTCATTTTTGTTATCAAGTAGCAATAATGTTGATGGAGAATTTGGAATATTTTACTTAATAGAAAGTAACTTTTGTTTTTAAATTCACATCAAATTAAATGCAGCTACATTTATAAATACAGATATGGTACCAGTACTTGGCCCTTTTAACACTAATTAAAACAACTTTATTTGGGAGAAATTACATTTTAGTCGAATCACTAAACTCTAGTAAGGATAATTTAGGCCATTGGGTTAATAATCACTAAATTCTAATCACTAAACTCTTTTTTTTTTCTTTATTTTAAAAGAAATGAGTATCCCAAAGTGGACTTTAATTAAACTTAATTTTGCGAAAAATGACCCAATCAAATCTTCAGTAATTTCATCTATTTTAAAAATAGGTTAAAAAATACTTTTAATTTAAGAAAATTAATTTTTCAAATGAATCCATAATTTTCAAAGTATTATTGATAGTATTAGAGATTGAGAATTATTAATTCACATAACAAATATGACTTTGGTATAATTCTTTCTGGTAGTCAGCCAAGCAATTTTCTCACTTCTGGAGGGGCCATTTTTAGAAAAGAAGGTTATTTTGTCTGCATATATACAGATAGTTCTTAGCCAAAGTGCCAGATATGTTCAAAGGTCTGATTTGAAAACAAACCCAAGACTTGTAGCCTCTTTGGAATGAATTAATAAGTACATTCTAGGATCGTATTCTAAATAAAATTTGGGTTTGTCTTCGGTTTTTTCAATTTCTTCTATGTGAAGCCATTGCATGGAAATCGAATAGAATAGATTGTTTTACTATGTTTGAAGTCATTAGAAACTCGAGAGATTAAACTAGAGACACTAGTGTAATTCTATTGTCATAGTTTAAAATGTAAAAATAATATAAATATTAGCCTACAGATTATATTTTTAAAACCTTTTAATACTCGGTAACAATATTTGGGTAAAAAAAAGGTTCAAAGCCTTAAAAGATTTTTGGTGACAGTTCCCTTTTACAAGTGTACACCTTTTTCCTGTCAATGTTCTGAACTTCTAATCCGCTGGATTTTTTTTTTTAGGTGTTGCAAATGAAATATCAGTATGTGATGCCATATGTGGCTCTCGTGAAGTTTTTAATGCAAAACAGAATAAGCACAATGGGGAGTTAAAGAACACTGGGAGAATCAAAAAGGTCAGTCTATTAGACAAAATGTCAAGAATACTTTTTGATTTGATACATCATTTCAGCACCTTTTAGAAATAAATGCAGTTCACATGCAGTGCTATATGATCATAAAGATTTCCACGTGAATTTTATTTTTTTGTGAAATACTGGATAACTGTTAGACTGAAATAGCACTTGAATATAGGAAGCCCATGGCATCTTAACTGTCCTGGCAAAGCTACATTGATTAGAGAGGTGTAAAGAAGGTGGCAGGCTAGGATAAGCTATGTATGAGGAGAGAGGTATTTATTAGCCAAGTTATTCTCAAGTCAGGGAAAAGGCAAGGTGGGGAGACTAATTGGTTGAATGGCCCAAATCTTTCTAGGCAATAGCATACTTTGTCAGGAGCTATGTATGAGTAAAACTGCATTTTAGACTGTATTAATTGTATCCATTCTAGGAGCATGCTACTAGGATTCCTAGTTCAGAAAAGTGCTTCTAATGTAGCTGCAACCTTACTCTAGTACAGGGGTTGGCAACCCCTGGCACACGTGCCATTAGTGGCACGTGGAGACATGTTTCCTGGCACGCCGGGAAGCATGCAAAGAAATTGATTTTTTTTAAAGTTGCTGCTCCAGGCTCCCCTGTGCAGGCACAAGTCCCAGTGTCGCGGCAGGCACCAAGGCGGAACCAGAAAAACGCAGGCAGGGAGGCTGTTTGTGTTCTACTGCCCCCTCCCTGTGCTCCCGTGTTGTGCCCTCCAGCCTGGCTGGCCCCTGGAGGGAGCAGCCCAGGTAGGCAGATGGCCTGGCCCCAGCTCCCAGGGCAGCACTGAGGTGCTGAGTGGTGGGGCCAGGTGGTCAGGACAGGGTCTGGGCAGCATGGGGGCAGACGCCGCAGGCAAGCCAGCCTAGTCGGGCCCTTAGGATGGCTGGGCAGGAAGTTGGGGCTACCCCGGGGCTCTGCAGGCTCGAGGTGTGGTGGGCAAGCAGGTGGGGGTGCCCAGTGGCACCCATGGTGGGGCCTGGCCCAGCCCCCACAGCTCCTTAGGGATGGGTCGCAGCCACCCTGCACACATGGGGATGCTCCCTGTCTGGGGCAGGATGCTGGGCTTGGGAGTCTTCGCTCTCTGGGATCGGCCTCCCTGCACGTTGGGCACAGTGCAGGCAGGGCAGAGCCATCCCTGGTGCAGGGGCCTGTCCGCAGAAGCCCCGTAGAGCCTGGGAACAGCCACCCAGGTCCTGACTTTGCCCACCCGCAGCTCCCCTCAAGGGGCCAGGGCTGGGGCAGGTACTGTACAGAGCCACTGTGCTGCAGGCTTCTGGCTGACTCGGCCCTGAGCACCAGCTGCGGCAGCTGTTCCCTGAGCCTGGGGAACAGCCTGTGGGTGCAGCTCCCACTCCCACTATACCCAGCACACACAGAGACCAAGCAGGAGCCCCCTGAGCCCGGAATCCTGTCCCAGCCAGCCAGCGTCCCTTTGTGGGCGCCCCATCCCCGCGGAGCTGCGCAGGTCAGCTGGGCCCCACCTCTGGTGCTGCTGGGCCCCCCGCTGTGGCCCAAGTAGCGGAGCCCTGGGGCAGCCCCCACTCCCCGCTTGACACCAGCTTTCTATTCACTGTAAAAAAAAAAATTAAATTAAAAAAAAGCAACATTAATGATTATTAATAGTATTAAATATGCAGTGCATCCTGCCATGTACCCCTTCCACTCCAGTTTTGTTTTTGTGGCGTGCCGGCACTCCAGCACCTTACAAGGTAGACATTGTGGTTTTTTCAGCACTGGCCAAGAAATGTTGCTTACCCCTGCTCTAGTGTATGTTGACTGCGAGCTGAGTTTTTGGTTGTAGCCATGTTGGTGTAAGGGCATAGGCAGGGAAGGTTCTTTGGTTAGATGTGATAATTTTTATTAGACCAACTGAGTAGTTGGAAAAAAATTCTTAGCAAGCATTCGGGAGTAGTCACCCTTTGTCAGACATAGGGAGTCTCTGCTGGTCTGAGGCTCCAAGGAAAGAAAATTCTTATTCCTCATTCCTTGGAGCAGCAAATCAAATTAAAATAAATTACACAAGCAAATGTACACAGGAAATTGGTGGAAGGTGGAATTAAGGTAAATAGTTAAAATTTCTTGAGCACGTGAAATTAAATTGAAGAGAATGTTGAAAGAATTCTAAAAATTAGGGCTCCTCTACATGTACAGATAAAGGTGCAATGAGATATAATGCGTGGTCCACACAGTCGTGCCTCCTGCCATGCCGTGCATGAATGGCAGGCATGATTGTAAGAGTGCATGTTAGATCCTGTCATGCCTTGTTGCTGGTGCAGGGGAAGCCCATTCTTGTACCGACAAGAAACAAGCTCCCATGACTGAGAGCGCCTTCAGTTGAGTGGCTCCACCCCCCACCCTGGGGCGGGGGGATCACAGCTGCTGCGATCTCCCACCCTTAGGGCTTCATGAAGGAGAAGTGCAAAGTCGCACACTTAGGACAGAACAATCCCATGTATGGTCTGGGAACCGACTGTCTAAGCAGCAGTTCTGCAGACAAAGACCTTGGGGTTACAGTGGACATAAGCTGAATGTGAGCCAACAGTGTGCCCTTGTTGTGAAGAACGCTAACGGTGTCCTGGGCTGCATTAGTAGGAGCATTGCCAGCAGATAAAGGGAAGTGATTCTTCTCTGTTTGACACTGATGAGGTTACACCTGGATTACTGTGTCCGGTTTCGGACCCACACTGTAGAAAGAGTGTAGACAAATTTCAGAGAGTCCAGCAGATAGCAATGAAAACAGTTAGGGGGCTGGTTCATATGATTTATGAAGAGAGGCTGAAGGAACTGGGCTATACATGTGCCCAATGTCTGATCCAATATGTTCTAATTAGAACGTGTTGGAGCAGACTTGATTAATCAAGTTTGTTGAAGCATGCTAATTGACCTTGGTGTCACATGTATTCAGCATCCCTGTGCTTCAAAATGTTGGCGGGGTGCTTTAAGTAAAGCTTTAATGGTGCTTTAACTAAAGCTCACCAAATGAGCCTGCACCACTATTTTGAAGCATGGGACACTGAATACACAAGATGCTGCAGGTTCTTTAATTAGCTCCTTATTGCGGGTTGTGATTGTGGTGTGATTTTTCAGATGGTGCAACACAATGTGAATGATTGCCCAATTGCATCATTTAATGGTGATCTAAAATCAGTCCATGGAGCTACCCCTGAAGCATTCGAATGGTTATCAAATTTAGATATTAATCTATGAATGTTGTAATCCTAAAACATCATATGAAAGAAGTAGTAATAGCTTCTGAGGAGCCGCTTTGATTAACGGCCCCCTCCCTGCTCCAGAGCATGTTTAAAGACACCCATTTAGTCTGAGTGAGGATTTAACAGCAGTCTTCAACTACCTCTTTAGTGACTCCAGAGAGGATGGAGCTAAACTGTTCTGTGGTGGCAGATGACGAAACAAGGAGCAATGGTCTCAAGTTGCAGGAAGGGAAGTTTATGTTAGATATTAGGAAATACTTTCTCACTAGGAGGGTCGTAAAGTGCTGGACAGGTTACCCAGAGATGTTGTGTAATCTCCATCCTTGGAGGTTTTTAAGAACAGGATAGACAAAGACTTGGACTGGATGATATAATTGAGGATGGTCCTGCTTTGAGCAGGGGGTTGGACTAGATAACCTCCTAATGTCCCTTGCAACCCAAATTTTCTATGTTTCTATGAAACCCTGCAGGATTGTAACTGCAACAATTATCCAGCCTCAGGGGCTATGGGATCTTGGATGTCATGATTCCCCAGTTTCAGGGGTGCATGAAGTATGGCAGCCACAACCCTGCAGCCCTGGGGGTTTCACAGATCCCCAGGGCATCTGCACCCCCTAGCTGCCAAGACCCACCTGGTCCCAGCACCCAGTGTCTGCAACTTTTGGATTCTGAGTCCCTGTGTTGCCAGGACCCAGAGTCTGCAGCTGTGTGGGCTGAGAGTCACCTCTGTTCTGGGACTCTCAGCCCTGGCTAGTCATGTTACATCCCTGTGGCTGGGAGCCTCCTCAGCTGACAGGGCTCCCAGTTGTAGGAGACACCCCTGCTACACATGCAAATTAAAACTCAATAGAAGCCAGCTATAAAGTTAATACATATTTTCAAGGTTTAACTTTATAGCTGATTGGAGCTTTTTACAGCATGATAGCTACTTTGCATATGTAGCTGGTTCCAAGTTTAGTATGTACATGATCCCTATAACATAGAGGGAGACTCAGTCAGCTAAAGTGGTTAAAAATCTTGGATCAGTGTTCTGCTGCGAAGCTATCTGAAGAATTTTGGACAAAACAGCTGATCAAAAGAGCTATTTTTCTTCTTTGCTAAAATATTAAGAAGTTGTAATTATTAGATAACTTCCAAATTATATGCTTCTCGTGGAGGCAGGATACTGGACTAGATAAATTGGTAATCTGTTCTGGGATAAAATTATGACTTTACTTCCTGTCTTTGTTTATACTATTTGATTCTTTTCTTAGCTGTTCACTTGCATTCTTTTTCTAACAGAAGGCAACTATAACAAACTTGCTGCAACCTCTTGTTGATGCCTCAGAAGGTTTCTTGTCCTGACTGAATCAGTTAATTTCTTGTTACTGAAGTCTGGCAAAAGTGCAATACTCAAGTCTTTTGCACTCCTTAGGAATCAGGACATTGAACCTTAAAATAATGCTGTTTACATACTGTATCAGATTTATTGCTCCAGATTCATTTGTTCTTTGGAAGAGAAGAATGAAGGATTATTTAATTGTTGTCTTTAAATACTTAAAGGGTGGTTATATGGAGAATGATAATAAGACTCTTCTCTGTAGCTACAGGGGTCAGGGCAAGGAGTAATAATTTTAAATTGTAGCAAGGGAAATTTAGGCTGGATACAATGGAGCATTACCTAGAGAGATGGTAGAATCTCCATCCTTGGAAATATTAAAGAGCAGGTTAGAAAAACACTTGTCTGGAATGGTTAGACAAGGATAGGATGATCCTGCCCTGAGTATG